GTCCCTCTGGACATAACGCAAGTAAGGCAATCTCGGTGATAGTCCGCGTGCCCTGATTGTACATGTTGCTGCCACTGCTTTGTCGTCAGTGCTCGCAATGACGGGTAGCATCGCGGGTGTCTGTTCCAAAACCGAAGTGCCATCACCATCCCGCTGACCAGTCCTGGTGACCAAACTCCATTGTCACTTCCCCGTGATTGCTGCTGATCCTCCTCTGCTTCGGAAGTGATCCCGTCCATGCCCATCAAGTAGTAGACATTGGTTCCCAGCGTTGTAATATTTCTGTGCTCGGCCCCCATTAGTCCCTGGTCGAACGTCACCTCTGAGAACTCCATCTCCGCTCGGAACTGGGCCCACAATGATGTTCTCCATATCGACTGCGATCCTCTGACACTCTCTGCCGGATGCTCAAGGGCGAAGGCCACTGGGCGTTTACGGTTCAACCCACCAGCTCCTGACTCTCGTGCCGCCGTAGAGACCGCATACAACCACATCATCCTTGTGATCACGCCCAGGGCCTTGATGTCCTTAGTGGTCCCCTTCTTGATGTTCAAGAGTTGCGCCGTTCTTCCCGGTGGTCCTCCCACCACACCATCAATGCGACCTGTAAGGGCGCCCCATAGTAGGAGTCTCCACGTAGGATCCCGCAGCACATCATGACCCCGACATCGGTCCACATCCAATTCCAGCACTGCGGTACTTCCTTCATCCAGTTGGAAGAACTGATAATGGCCAGGATTCCCCGCGCACAGGTGAACTATCCACTTCTTTGCCGCCCAGAGGTGTCGCTTCTGCGGTCTCGTCAGGTAGTCGATGTTTTTCATATTTCTCCACCCGGCTTCAAGAATACCACCCTGAGCCAGTCCGCTAAGGCACTCACCTGGAACGTCCTGTAAGAACGGGGCATCCCGAACACTTCTCAGTGCTGACTCCACCGCTCCGTCCTTCACATACTCCCGCAAATAGTCCCACCATCATCCTTTGTCCATTGAAGCAGCTGCCATTGCAACTCTGTCCGTGGTGAGGGTCATCTCATTCTCAAGCCTCTCTCGCTTGCGGTCCTCCAGCCTTGCGATCATAGCCAGGGCCTCAGTTTCATGTAAATGTGGACACCCTCCTGATACTTTAAGCTCACGCTGTACACCCTCAGGATCACATAGTACACAACCTGCAGGTGACCAGTTCAGGGTGTAGCCCAGGGTCTTAACCAATTCTCCGAGTGGTACAATCGTTTGTCCTCCCGCAGTAGCTGCCGTAGACGCCGATGACCTGGGCCGTGGTGGCATTAACAAAGATCCCGTAGCCCCAAGTCTCATCGTCAGGGATTTGTTGCCCGCCAGCTGAACGACAACCTCATCAGCTGCAGTCCACTCCTCCTCATCCACTGCAGTCCTCAAACAGTGTGTAGCTCCTGAGTCAAGTAGGGCAGAGGTTGAGGAATCCACCGATGAAACCCTTATGTCTCGCAGAGAAAGTACACGGAGCTCTGGCTTAACCTTTTCTGGAGAGGAGTCCCCCGACGTCGCTGCCGTGGACTGGCTCTGGATCACCTGCTGCGCGGCCTGCACCAAGCTTTCGAGTGTCCAGGGTGTTCCTTGTACACTTCCCTGCTCTGCAGTCAAAGTTGACGATGCCGTAGACAGCGTGGACAGACCTGGAGCTGTTGTGGTGCCTGATTTATCGGAAGGTTTCGACGGCTGTTGTGAGGTGGGGGCCGGTGTCCTTGGTGGCTGCTTTCCCACGCCGCACTCCCGTGCTCTATGGCTTTCACTTCCGCATTTCAGGCACTTTCGGGCTCGAACTTCTCGGTCCATATGCTGCATGTTGTGGGAGTATGTACAGCGGTCTCCTCTCTTGCACCCTGTAGGCTTAGCAAAGTACTTGCACGGCTCAGCACCCTTGTCCTTGGTCCTCGTGGCTCCCTTCGGAGATGTCGTTGGCGATGTCGTAGTAACCTCCACTGCCCTTGCCCTCGGCGCCGTTGTCGTGGATGCTGACACGGGCTGAGCTGCCACCAGATTTTCCAGCTCTGCTTGGATGTGCCTCTGGTACGAGCGGACTTGGTCCAGCGTCGGCTGTCCGTCCAGTCTCAGCGTGGTGCGCAGCATTGCCGTCCGGAACGCAGAGTCAGATGACCCCTGCAGATGTTTCTCTGACAAGTGGCACAGCCCACGCGCCATCACTGACGGGTCTGGGGGCATCATCCCCATCTTTGTGCATCTTGCCAGCCATCTGGGCCACTCACGCACCTCCTTGAGGATATCCCGTAGGTTTCCCGCTGCCTCGACGAACTCATACGGCACCTGAAGACGTCGCAACACCTCTTCTCTTTCCGCAGAGCCGCCCGGTTGGTACCACGTAAAAACCCTGAACATCATCTTGGGTGTGTTCTGCGTTATCCGCTGCGAGATCATGTCCGACCGAAGCTCTGGCCCCATCGCCACCAACAACAATGACGACACCCGGGCATTAAGTCGAGTCCATCTCGTCCCGACCAGCTCCTCAGTCCCTTCCGGCCCAACTGCAAGTCGCTCCAATGGGGTTGCATTCAGCCACCGTACATAGGCACTCTCAACAACCATCATCACTGCTCGCCACCACGCACCTGACTGCTCAGAGATGTCCGCCATTGTTGACGACGCAACCTCAACCCAGTCCTGGAACTGTAGTGCTGACTGAGCTCCGCCTCGTACATCAGGTAGTTCTTGAAGTGCTGCTGAGGATGACTTGACTGGCTCGGCTGAGGTAGTGGAGCTTCTAGAAAGGGCTTGCGCTTGCAGTTCCTGTAGTTGCTGTATACCCTTTGCTATCGCTTCTATCATTGGAGAACCCTGACCTTGAGGCTCCCTGGCAGGTGGTGGAGATTGAGAACGTCCTCTTGCTCCTCCAAGAAGTCCACGCAGAAAACCCTGGGGCTCGGGCCCCTGAGTTTGGCACCCTATCCCCGGTCCTTGCTGAGTCGGTTTCTGGCGCTCATGTGGTGGCTCAGCTGGTTGATAGCCATGTATAACGCTCGGTCTGCCAACTGCTCCCCTTGGTAGGATAGGTGGATCCCTTAACGACCATCCAGCATTTAGTAGATTAGCTGGTTCTTGAGGTACTGAGTGAGGCTCCTGTAATTGATGTCCAACATCTCGCGGCTCGGTAGGACCTTGGGATACTGAGTAAGGCTCCTGTAGCTGATGTCCGACATCTCGTGGTTCGGTAGGGCCCTGGGGTACTGGGTGAAGATCTTGTAGCTGACTTCCAACATCCCGCGATACAGTAGGACCTTGAGGTACTAGGTAAAGGTCCTGTAGCTGACGTCCAACACCTAGTGATTCGATAGGGTCTGGAGGTAGCACTGGAAGATCCTGAAGCGGGCCTGGGTCTGTCGGGGCCTCCAGCAGGCTCGAGAGTAATCGGCTTGGCCTCTCCTGTAGCGATCCCACTCTCCATCTCTCTGCTTCCTCCCTTGCGTTTCCCAGGTCCTGGAGCAGCTGTGCATTATGCCGCTCTGCCTCGTCCAATCTTCCCAGTAAGTCGCCCAGCTGGCGCTGAACCTCTTGTTGTATCGCCTCTGCAGGTATGGAAGAGCTACTTGGCGGAGTCACTGGTCTTCCAGTAGGTCGCTGCCTCGGTGGCGACCTGAGTGTAAAAACTGCGCCCCCAGGGGGCGAGCTCGTACTGGACAAGGGGCTTGGAATGAGGTCTGCCGCTGTAGCTTGTCCCACGTAGGAACCCAGTCTCATCATCCATCGTGGCCATTCCATCTGCCCCAACCAGCTTCCCTGCGCATGCACCGCCGCCGCCGAGCGCGGCGTAAGAAATTCCGTTGACAGCATAGATTGTCTGGACGGCGTTCCATTTGCCTGCAGCGGTCCACTGGCCACATCAGGAATCGTCCGGGCACTCCTTCGCCCAGCCTGCTCCAGCGTAGCTGCAGGCGCCACTGTTTCAGGCGGATCGTCTCCAGTACGTCTTATATCTGAAGCGGTGACCATCGCCCCCTGAACCTCCATGTCCACAGGCACACCACCATTTGCTCCAGCACGATCATTGAGATCCTGTTGCACTGCTCCACCAGCCCTCGGCAAAATGCCGTTCGCAAGCACTGGTCCTGCAGTTTCACGCGTCTGCTGCTGACGCTCATCTTGCGGAGTATCATGAGCTTGAGCTTGGGCGCTCATAACCTGTTGACGGGAGTTCCCGTCCGGATC